TTTCTAATTGTGATTGGCTCTTTGAAACATGATTTTTCTATATGATATATAGGTTGGAAGTCCTGTCAGTGTTTTTTGAAAAGCTTACAGTTTTTGATTCTCGATGCTCGTACATGACGTAACATGCTATGCTTGTAGAACATTCTGGGAGCTTTCCTGCAAGAGGCGTGTGAGGGCGCCTGCTCTTCCCTGGGTTTAATTACGATGTCAGTTTCACAGGAGTATCTTCGGGTCATCATCTTCTATCAGTGGCCCCGCGGCACTGGAGCCACGGCAGCTGTCCGTAACATCAACAGTGCATTGAGGGAGGACACCACTACCGTCAGGATCGTTCACTTTTAGTTCGCTCGCTTCGCGAAAAGAGACTCGATCCTCGAAGACAAACCTTGGTTGGGACGGCTACCTAACTGACAGTCGTCCACCGCCTGTAAGCCTCTTGACTACCAAAAAGTACTGGCTCGATGGATCACTCATACCTTGACCGATGACATCCGGGTACCCCTTGGTCAGTCTCCCCTTCTCCGCCCTCGTCAGGGTTTCCGGGAGACTGCTTAGTGGGGATGAGAGATGGGTCCTCTATGATTTCAACCCACACAGTACCGTGTGTCTCTCTCAAGGAGAAGATCCATTCTAGCAGTCCAAACCGGGCATGTATTCCGAGAAGGTTCTCCTGTGCTGCTCCTGGGACGCGAGGGGGATGCTGCAGAACGAGCTGCCCTGTAAGAACAGACGATCACCGCCACCATTTGTGTCGCTCAGCTCCCGAAACGAGTGAAAATTGTTGGAGAAAAATGACCGAGACTAGCTTCGGGTCACCTCGTTCGTAGTACACGAGACCCCATACCTGCTATGAAGACCTACCAAATGAGGAGCAAGGCTGGAAGACCAGTCCCCGCTCATAATATTCTCCTGACGTAGTCCCCTACGACTGCTACCTGCTCCGCCTCCTTAAGGCTTTCTTAGCTAAGAAAACTTTCAGCAATTTTGATGACATCAGACAAATTCCCACTGTATATTGAGTTATAAAATAAAAAAGAAAAAGTCACAACAGTGACAAGACTTTCCCTAACCCAATTGTTTTCTACACACTGCGTGCTCAAGAAAAATACTGAATTTAGAAGCCTTCAGGCTGATTAATTATTTTTTTCTACACGCACAGCAAACAACCGTAAATGGCTACTCATTTGGTAGCTTAACAGCTTCACAGAAGTTCACAGGACTTTACGAAGTTGCCCGGCGTGTTGGCATGTGTTTACAGTATACCCCCCCCTCTCATAGCGGAGTAGAACCAATTTCTTATCCTTATCCTATTTGAAACCCGGCTTCCATCGACGTCTAAAGTTCATCTGATAGCCTAACTAATCTTACCTTCATCACATATTGAATGTCCTCATGGAAATCGGAGATCGAATTGTAATCCATTAGCTATTACTGGGGTAAGTTTCAGTTGAAAATATTTACATATATGACGTTGTTGGTCCCTAATGGATTGAGGATGATTATCAATTGCGATGACGACGACAAGAAGGCAGCATTCCTGAGCGGTATTATTATACAACTGAGAGCATATCCGCTAATGAGTGAGCGACTGTGGGCAGACGAATGATAGAGACGATGAGAGGAATCCAGCAATTTGGTTAACAAGCCAGTTCATGTGACTGAAGTGGTTTCAGCACAGAGTGCACGAAAGTGTGATGTTGTCAAGTCTACTTCAGAAATAATTGCATTTGAAGAGAATCGTGCCGAAATAGAGTGGCCTTTGAGTTATGTTCGCTGCAGACGATGGGGCGTTTCAAAGAGATGTTTTTGGCGCTGCGCCAACCCGTCGTTTTCTTTCTTTCGGCAAGCGACAAGATTGTATCGCATCGTTCATCAAGCGTTTCTCACCATCGTTTTCGCTTACCAGCTTCAACAACTGGTGGAGAACGGGTGGCCCTGTCAGCCTCCACCGTCCGCAGCGAACAAGCCCGTGTTTATCCCCTCTACCTCAGTCAAAGTGAGCTCTACCATTATTGGAGCATGATAAGGCTAATGCCGTTTGGACTCCAGAAATTTCGGCACCGAGCCCATTTTTAAATTGCCTAAGTCACCAAATCCGCTAAAAACTTGTATGCCGAATCCCAAGGAGCATTTTGCGGAAGGACAGACATACATAAATACATACATACAAACCGACACACAAAGTTACTGGTTTATAGAATAGAAGGATACTATTATGGCATTCATCACTCTTGTCGCTGGCGCCAAGAGAGGACACTACGATTACCTCCTGGGCTCAGCCTTAGCAGAGCGCAGATAATCGTAGTGTCATCCATTAGCGCCAGCGACAAGAGTGAATGTCATATTCGTAATCAGGATGTTAAACTACGACCCTATAAATCCAGAGTGTGCAAGTGGATTTGTTGACTTAGGCAATTTAAAAATGAGCCGGTGGCCTAAATGGAGTCCAACTACGGCATACGCCGCATCAAAAGAGCATATGCCAGAACAAAGTGCAGCTTATTGCGTATTTCTACGATCCATTAATGAGCAGTTGTGTGGTAAGACGATTACTGGAAATGCCTTCAGGTAAGACAGTAGATTCATGGTACACACGCAATATCCTAAAGTGGAGTAGGTGTGTCGCTACTCCATTAACCTAGCGGCGGCACTTTTCCTAAGGCGCGTTTTATACTTGCGGCAGCGTAGCGTAGCGTAGCGCAGCGTAGCGTAGCGCTTCCAGCGTACGCCAGCGGCAGTGCCGAAGAGAGGATGCATATCGATCTAGCTTCACCAGCGTCACCAGCGGCACGCTAGCGTACGCCAGCGGCACGCTAGCGCACGCTGGCGTAGCGAGGGCACGGGAAGCATAGCTATCGATCGCTTCACCAGCGTTTCTCGAGCGTTTCTCCAGCGGCACCAGCGTTTTGCTAGCGCTTGCAGCGGCAGGGAGTAGAGACTATGTGGCCGTGAGAGACGCAGAAGCGATGTGCATTGTAGAGAGACTATGTGCCCGTCGAAGCAGCGCCAGAAGCGAATGTCATATGTAGAGACTATGTGCCGTCGAAGACGCAGAAGCGATGTGCATTGTAGAGACTATGTGCCCGTCGAAGACGCAGAAGCGATGCGCATTGTAGAGACTAAGGGCGAGTGAGAGACGGGCAATCGATGTGTTTTGTACCCTCCAGCTCTCCCATAGTCTCTACTCCCCTGCCGCTGCAAACGCTAGCAAAACGCTGGTGAAACGCTGGAGAAACGCTGGTGACGCTGGTGAAGCTAGATCGATATGCATCCTCTCTTCGGCACTGCCGCTGGCGTACGCTGGAAGCGCTACGCTACGCTGCGCTACGCTACGCTACCTGCG